GGGGGGGGGGGGGGGGGGGGGGGGGGGCTCTGGTTGCTGCTGGTGCTCTACTCCTCAACCTTGGAGGCCCTTACATTGACAGGCTCCCTCTAATTCATCGGTTGTCCACTTAAAATGCCCAAGTATATAAATCATACTCACTAAGTTGTTTTAAGGTAAGAGGTATGTGTTGACAGGGGGATGTGGAAAGAGCAAACACCATGAGGAGTCCTGGGTCCTGAGTCCCAGCACCCCCAGTAAATGGCCAGTGATTTGGGAATCACCTCGGTGGACCTGTTTTCATGCCAGAGGGTTAGATGTGATGCTCTCCAGTTCTCTCCTCATGCTATGGCTTCACTTTCTTTTTTAGGTAGTGAAAAGGGAGGGGCAACTGGATGGGTAGCTAAGCAGCTCAAAAATAAGTGTCTACCACCAAGACATCACTAAAACACAAAACATAAAGCCCCTCCTAATTCACGATGGCACTCTGTACTAAAGTAGTGCCGTGATGAAAGTTCCAAGTGCTTCTCAGGGAGCACAATGGCTGCAGTCACCATGCACTTTCACTAACAAACTCACTATAATTGTTTTCAGAAAATTTAAGAGTAACATTTCAAAAAAGCCATCATGGGACCAGAGCCGTCAAGGCAAGTCACCATTCAAAGACTTTTATCAGCATGACCTTGGCATAATTCTAATGGCAGGGCAGCAAAGTTAGACAAAGGCCAATATAATATCTCCCATTTACCCAAGTGTTCAGGGAAGATATTGTGGCTAACCATACTCCATATTCCTATATATACCAGAAGGGGATTTTACATTTCCCAAGAAACAATGACATCACTTTTGGGTGATGGGAGTGACTCAGAATTCTTAAGGGGTCTTGTGAGGAGTGACTCAATGTCCACAAAAATGTCAACTGCTTGATATCATACAAGAGAAAAAAGAAATTGCTCTCAATCAGTATAGAAAACTTAGACACTAGCATTAGTTTATTATATAGACCATAGAATAAAAGTAGTAGAAATTCAACTACTAAACCCAAAAATCTTTCTTTATAAGCAGATCACCTTTCATACTGTACAGGTAAGACAAATTTAAGAGCTTGGCTGTAACATTAGGATACATTTTTGAGGCTGGACGCAGTGGCTAGTGCCTATAATCCCAGCACTTTGGGAGGCTGAGGTGAGAGGATTGCCTGAGTCCACGGGTTCAAGACCAGTCTGGGCAACTTGGCGAGATCTGGTCTCTACAATAAATCAAAAAACTTAGCTGGGTGTGGTGGTGCATGCCTGTGGTTTCAGGTACTTGGAAGGCTGAGGCGGAAGGATCACCTGAGCCCAGCAGGTCAAGGCTATGGTGGCTGTAAGCATGCCATTGTACTCCAGCCTGGGCAACAGAGTGAGACTCCAACTCAAAAAAAAAAAACCCAAAACACATTTTGAGTGTTGTTGAAAGCTTACATGAGCAAAACATCTTAAATCTATTTCATCCATAATTAAATATCTTTCTTTGGTTTTCCCTCAACTGTCATTCATTTAAAATTTGAATGGCTGCATGGTAGTTAGAATGGATGCTGGCCCTTAAATCATATAGTTACTAAGAAACAGAAATTGAGGTTGGGGAAGCTAAAGATCAAGTATATCACCCTTTCGTGGGCTATTATCTGAAAACACCTAGACTTGGGATCCACTCTATAGGTAAAACCTGGCTCCACAACTGGGAAACTTTTTTCCCTTTACCATGATGATTCAAACAAGATGGGAAGTCATCAAGAGTTAGTGAATAAAGAAGGGCCATGGTGACACACGGAGGGCAGGAGGGCCCCTTCTAATACCAGGAAGGCAGTACAGCTGGTTCCCTGGCGTTGGCTTCATAACCTGCAGTGATTTTTAACAACCATCAGTAAGTACCACCTCAGGACAATCAATAGGTATGACATTCTTTGTGTACAACTTCTCATATACTTATATTTTCCGAAAATAGAGGCCACTGCTAAAACTGGCCAATGGCTGTGCAAGACATATTAAAGCTACTGAAATAAGAACTCCATGGCAAAATGGCTGGACCACAAATATCCCATATCATCTTCAATACCTAGGAGCCACAGTAAATACATACGCAAACATAATCAACATAGATAGTAGACATGTGCTTTGTGAGGCTTCAATAACCTTACAAACTGGAGCAACTGAGGCCAATGTTCTGTGCAGCGGGATGGGACGCCAAGCCATCTCGATCACGTGCGCCCAACACAGGCATAACACAGCTGCTGGAGGGGTCACCCTACAAGGCCCACCCCCACTGTTGGAAGGGCAGCGGGAAGGCCCTGGGCGACTCCAACCGCACAGGCACTCACTCGAGCCCCGGGAGGAATGCTACTCAGAGCCCGGAGCCCCGCTCCGGGGCTTCTTCGCAGCCACCACTACCCCCCACTCCCCCAGCCCGGCTGCCCCGGCAGTACCCGCCCGGCGCACGCGCCTGCGCAGTGCACACCCCTCCCCAACCCGGGCATGGGGAGCCGAGGGGCTAGGCCCGATACGGCCCGCTGAGGGACTGGTGGACGCTCTAAGGATCCCATTCCTCAGGCCGGGGGGTCCCAAGGCTTACCCGCGCCCAGGATGCTGGGCAGGAGGAAGAGAGCATACATGGCGCCGCCTGATTCTGCAGTCTGCAATGCAGAGCGTCAGCTGATCCCCGCCGATATAACCCTGCCCAGCCCCGAAGCGGCCCACTGCGCAGGCGCAACCCCGCCCCGTCTGGAGCTGCCTGGCTTTTCCCGCAGCCTGACTCAGCGCCGCTTAGGGCGCCTGCGCGAAAGCAAGGCATACTGGGGAGAGGAGGGGTAGGG